TTGCAATTTGATTATTACTTTGTATCCTTTGTAAGATTTCTTCTCTTCACTGCAACCTGTAGAAATCTGGCGCATTCTGGAAACACAGTTTATTTTCGTAATCCAAGAGTTAAAAACAAGATTAACAGCTTATACAAATTAGGTATGTGAAGAAGTGTAATGTTTTGTTGTTTGGGAAGAGAGTTAAATAAAACATTAGTTCTCTCTACCCAAAGACAGGGATAAATTAGTAAATCTTTCCAAGCAGAATGAAAATACGTAACTCTGAGCTAAGGGAAACGTGATGAGGTCCAACCAACTGGCGCTTCCAACTTGCTTCAAACATCTATTCTGGAAAGAGACAATTCATCCTCTAAGACTGCCTACTTCCTTCCACTGACAATGACTCAAATCAAGCCAGCTTATTCAGAAGCAGATATCTAAACTGAAGACCTTCTCTCCTTGATTAGCAATCATTAGTGAAGCTGATGCATTTCCCAAATGTAGACAAAGTCAGTCAGTCTTTGTTCTCATTTCAGGTGCTGCACTTTAAACTGGGACAAACATGGCAACAGCAGTGAAACTAGGAGAGTTACTGAGGAAAAAGGATAAATTAGAATAAAAATGGAAAATAGTTTCAAAAAAATTAATTTAATAATATTAAATAATCCCAAATCGTTAGGATAAGTTAGCTAGATTGTTTACTGTGCAACTTGTACAACTAAATTCCCAAATATCACAGACTCATAAGGTAAATTTGTGACATGTGGAGTGTTGACCCTGGCCACCAATTCAGCATCCACCAGCCACTTGCTCACTCCACCCTCCAGTGGGATGGGGGAGAGAATCAGAAGAGTGAAAGTAAGAAAAAATTCATGGGTCAAGATAAAGACCATTTAATAAGTGAAGGGGAAAAGGGGGGAAAAAGTGATTCAAAGGCACTTTCCATCTCCCACCAGCAGACTGATGTACTATCAGTCTTCAAGCAACAGCCACCTTAGAAAGAGTACCCCTCATTCTTACTGCTGAGTATGATGTCATATGGTTGGGGATATTCCTTTGGTCAGTTGGGGTCAGCTGCCCCAGCTGTGTCCCCTCCCAACCTCTGGCCTACCACCAGCCTCCTGGCTACGGGGGAAGTGAGAAACAGAGATGGCCTTGACACTGTGCAAGCATGGTTCAGCAATGCCTAAAACATCCCTATGTTGTCAACACTGTTCTAGTCACAGATCTAAAATACACCATATTGGAATAACTCTATCCTGGCCAAAATCAGTACATGATGTAAAATGGCCTCTGCACCAGGCAAAAATCTCTTGATGAAAAAGCAAATCACCTGTTTTTCTCAGATCATGTTCAGTCCTGGTGCTTACAAAAGATTACTGCATTCTCCTGTCTTTCTTGAACCTACTCTCCTCTCTATTTAATCAGCAATCCTTGGCAACATTTCTGAAGTGAAATCAGATTTTGCACAGCAATAGTTGAGCGCTATTATTAAATCAGAAACTCGGACTGCAAGCAATTCTTCCAAGTGCAGTGTCCAAAGAGTACAAGTAACGTTTCCTCCCCACACTCATCTTCTGAGGACCACCAGAAATGCATGAAACAGTGCCTGAAAACAGCTTAGATTCAAGGATCTTAGAAGAACACCTAAAGCTTCCACCAGCAAACTACTTGCAAACCCACTTTATTTGAAATACGGTTATACTTCACTCCTCCAGATGCATCAGAATGTCCTGATAGCCAAGAGTCACAAACTTTATTCTTAAACACTTTTTCAGCATAACTCTACCACCACAAATGTAGTGGGCATAGAACGCTATTTGAAATACATCCCAGAGAGCGATCTTCAGTTTGAGAGCACTGCAGGTGTTGTTTTGGGAAAAACGAATTACACTTCATCAGAACATCTGTTTTTGTAAAATGTTGATGTTAGGTAGGCTATACACCAAGGATGCTATATTCAAAAGCACCTACACCTGGGCAGCACAGCATAATCCATACCCAACCTGCCCATAAGGTATCTAAAACCGCATAATAACCTGAGGCAGAAAATAGATTTCAGAGTACTTGGAATCAGGCTTACAGTATGTAAATGAAGAAATCCCAACTCTCTAAGTATTGCTTTTAACAGTCCTCCAAGGGAAAGCTAAATGTGACATAAATATTAACAAATATTATTCTTATAAAACAGAAAGGTATCCGCCATAACAGTATCTAGAGACATCACACAGCTTTGGAAAAGCACCAGTTCCTTCTAGGACAGAAGCCAAACTCTTCCATCATTCAGATGAAATTTATGCAGCTTTTCTGGACCCACACTGAAAACAGCTTTGAATATTTTTGGTTTTGTTCTTCTACCTTAAGGAGAAGTTCTGCCAATGGGAGCATCATTACTTCTGTTTATTCTTTGAATTTTGACAGTGCTGAGGCACAAATCAGGATTGTATTTAGTGAAGTTTGGCTCTAACACAGAATCAATTACATCTAATTTTGCAGTTTATCTGAAATTTGTGAAGTGTGAACACAGAATCAGCTATCACAGCCATGGGCTCCAGCCATTACAAAAAGTCTTCTCTGCAAGGCTTTGTGTTAACTCAACATTTCTACACTTGGCATTGCTTGCAATTAAAGGCACAATAATGGCACAGTGAAGAAAGGGTATATGCTGAGAAAAGGAGGCTGGGACCATTTCAGCCTTTCAAGATGAGGGACAGGACTCTGAAAAGACTTGGTGTTTCAGTGTTGCTATTGTGCCCTTTGCTATTACACTGTTTAATAGTAAGCTAAGAGTCTCTTTCCAGAAATAAAAAACTCAGTGCTCAAAAAGACATTTGGGCTGGAAAAAGGGATACAATACTAAAAAGTACAACTCTGAACAAACATAGATATTTCAGTCCCCTGCCCCTCCTCTTCCACAAAACAATCCTAAAGTTTCAATCTGTGACCTTATTTCCCCTCCTTCCAGCATATGACCTCCACACTCAGTCAGGGATGTCCAGCCAAGGCCAGGTCTGGACCCGTGTACCACGCATGCATAGTTCAAGTGTGATGCCTACACTGCTGCTATGGCACATAACTGGCAGCAAAGCTAGGCTGTTTTGCCTGCTGAGCTAGTTTTGCACTTGGGTGGGAGAACCTCATCTGGCAGGGACCCAAGCTCATGAGCTTTGCTCACATGGGCACATCTTCCTAATGGGACTTACTCCCATTATCTTCAATGTGAGCAAGTGTTCCCAGATCAAGCCTTAAATCATACACATTTTTAAGACAGCATTTATTTCATCCAAACATAGTAATATAATTCTTATTTTTATGTGAATATCATGTCCTAACCTTTTATTCACTTATGCAAGTTTTTTGAAAACACTTAAGCAGACTGATAATTACCACCCAGAAACAATGTCATTTGCCCATACAGAAGCAATTGGGTCAAGAAATCTTCTCAAAAAATCATCATACTGAATTCAGGTACAGCACAAACTGGTAAAACCACTTCTAATACAAATGCATCAGTCTCACATATGATAATCTACTGTGTCATCATATTTCACCACCAACGTTGATCAAAAAGCTTCTTTTGTTTTTTGCTTATAACATGCCTGGCAAGTTCCACACATAGCAACAGACCCTCATTTGAGTGATGTGGAAATCACTAAGAGAGCATAACTCGTTTTTCTGTTTCATTCAGCACAGTAACAATAGAGACGCAGAAAAAACCTTCTTAAAGCACCTGATCTTCCATAACTCCATTGTTCTAGTGACTCCCTTGAAAACAAGTTCCCAGAAATGCAGATCTGCAGCCTAAGCCTCAGCATAGTCTCCAAGGACTACGGGATAAAACACGGCTGATGTTGCAACACAGAACAAGCTATATAGCAGGTCCTGATGTCAAATGCCTGCTGGGACATGATGAGGGGCAAGGGATTTGTTTCTGCCTGTTTTTTAGCTCTGCTTCTCAAAAGGCTTTCATCAGGATGCTTACCATAAACGTTAAGCAGAGAGGTATGCAAAGCTGCATTAATTATATGCTCCTCTCCTGAAAACAGTCATGAATTCTCAAATCTAAATCTACAGATGAGCATTCCCACTGACATTAATGCAGCTACTAACTTAAGTAAGCTGCAGGCATTAACTTTTGCAGAGTTCAGCCAAAGGAACAGTCTTAAAAGGCCTCGATTCATCCCATTTAATTGTGCATCGCCAGAGAACAATCCGGATATTAGGTGGGACTGCAAAGTAACTTAGACTGTACTCACAGATGTTTTACTTTCAATTTAGCAGGCTTATTAGTCAAAGGCCATCCTGCTGCCAACACTTAAGCTTTATGATAAGAATGGCCTGATAGTATGCTACCGTTATGTGTCTGCAGAATCAGGGTTTTCGTGAGGAAGAGCAACAGTAAGCACAAAAGCTAAGAGATTGTGCAGAGGACTTTGGCTCTCGCTGCTGGACTGGGGATGGGCTTTTTTTCACAGGATTATGCTAGATTGTAAAGACACAAATTATAGAGGCTTCTCTTCTGATTAAGTAGCTTGTTAGTCCCTGATAGCAAAAGAGCAGCTCAAATAATAAATCGTTACTCAGTATGATTAACAACACTAGTATCTAGTCTATAGCATTTACTTACTTCCTGGGGAGAGAGAATGGGAACAGGCAGCAGTGAAAAAAGAAACTAAATGTTATACTAATATGTTATTCAAATGGTTGATTTTTAGGTTGCTGAATATCTGAATACCATAAAAAAAAAAAAAAAAAAAAAAAGAGAAATCCTAAGGAAGCATGTTTCTAATTCAAGACCTCGGCCATACTAACTTGCTACTTTGACACCGATCAGATTTTTTCTTTTTTTTTAAAAGAACTTAAGAACTTAATTGGAGATATAATTATTTTGGTTGATTGATATGCTGCATATCTAATTCGTTGCATTTAATAGGCCTATCCCTTTGACACTCATGAATCAATACATTCATCCCACGGTAATTTATACAGCAGAGTTAAGCATCTATACAAGGTGTTACCTTCACAGTAGGCATTGTCCTCCCGAAGGGCTCGGAAGCCATCTCGGCAGCTACAGACAGCTCTGTCATCTAGGTTTCGGCAGACAGAATGCTCCATACAGTTATGTCCTTCAGTGCAAAAGTCATGGCCTGCACAGAAACAAATATGATTGAGGGTTAAAAAAGAATGCAGGGATTATAAAACACCCCTGTCACAGACAGTCCTATCTTTTTTTCAGTTAGGTCAAAGAATACCTTTCTATTGTCCGTGAGATATAGAAAAATAAATTGTACCAAGCATGAAACAGATGAAACGAGTAGTAAAGGCCAGAAGAACAGACTGTCTCTAGGTCTTCGATTCAATTTCAGGTTATGGGATTGATCTAAGGCAGCTGGACAGGAAGCTTGCGTAAATCCCCTTATTATCACCTTGTCATTGTTAAGTACTTTTACAGGACACTTCTTAATTATATATTTTTCTTTATTTTCTTTTTTTCTTTCTGTCTAGACATTTATAAAAGAGCTCAATAGCTTAGACACTCAGTAGCTCATTTACTACTGGTTTTACTTTTTTTTCTAGCACTTTTTGTTCCCCCAGTATATTTATAAAATCCTTCCACATTTAACCAAAAGTCTTTGATTAACATTGCCTTGTTTTGCTTTTCTCTTCCCCTTATCTTTTCCTTTCAAGCTCCACGGACTGAATACTCTGCCCTGATTGCATCATCCTTTCCATTTCAGAGAAGTTTATTTTTAAAATCTCACCTTTTAGACACCCCTATTTCCTATTTTCCTATTTTTTCCCTTCCATTTTTCCTGAGTGTGACTGTTTTCCATTGGAATTATGAATTTTTAAGATTCTGAAGTTTTTTCCCAGGCTGGAAGATTTAGATTGAGCCTTTCAACTCTGTATTTTTTTTAAAATTCCTTGTGTTTGCTCTCATTAAATCTAATGCTGCCATGTTGCTGAACACCATTAAATCATCCTTTATTATGCTGAACTGAAGTTGGTTGTAGTAACCAACTTGAGGCTTCCACAATTTCCACGTCTGTCCATAAAGGTGTGAACCTTATCTGCTTCTTTTTTTTTTCTCAACAACTTTATTTCTGTAATACGTCCTTCTTTAACTGAACCATCGGAACTGGTCAAGCAGTAGAAATTCACTGTTGTTTTCCAATAACTATCTTCTTGTCCCAAAATCTCCCATAGGAGAACTGGGGAATGTGGGTCCTGCTCAGGGGAGCAGGACTAGTGTAACACCAAGAGCTCCAGAATGCAAGCTGGAATCAGGCTGCAACACAGGTCTCTTACAAAATAACAAACAAGTATTTTTTGGTAGTAAAGATTATTATTTTTATCACTCCACCTGGCCTCTGCTTCATATTTTGCTATGAAAGAGCTTCTACCCTTAACCTCACAGAAGCTACGTTAAATGAGCACTTCAAGCAGGACAATGAAGAAAGTCTGCTTGGGGCTCAGGTCAGAGAGGTGTTTTGCACTTGGGCAGTTCAGGAACAGTGTGAAGCAACATGAACCGAGCAAAGCAAGACAAGAGAAACAGAGGAGCCCATAAAGGCAGCATGTTTTAGTGCTGAGATCCAGTGACATGGTCATGATGCAAACATCACAGACCTACTATGACATGAGGCAGATGATTTTCTTTCTCTCTTTTCTGCTGTGGATTGTCTCCCTGTAACCTAGAGATATGCTTAGATAATGTTATTTAAATATTATAATTCACTGTAGCTACCACAGTGCTGTTATCTAACACAGAACATCAAGAAGAAAAAAGCTCTACACTTTTACTAGCATTAGAGGGTCTTCAGTACTCACTGATGACAGCAGAAGTGTGTGTCAAGAGAAACCTCTGGCTATGGTGACATCTACTCTTTGTCTTTTTGTTGTCTTTCTCATTGAAACCCAAGTTAATGACAAAGCAATAGTCTTATTTTTTGATTTCCTGGTCTGGACTGGTTTGTGTCAGACTTTGGCATTAATTAAGTAAGAACGTGCATGTTTTCCAGAAAGGGTAAGGGCTTTTTTACTGATTTTTTGGTTTTCTTAAGATTCTTAACACTTACATATTAGCTGTATTAATAAACAAAATACATGCTGCTGAATAATAGCATACAGCTGCTTCTTGTTTAAAGAATAAGCTCCATAGCTTATGAGAAGCCAAGATAGCATGGTTCAGGTAGGATTAAAAATGTTCAGAGAACACTCATCTGACATATATTAAAATTTTCTAGCTACATCAGGCACAAGAAACAGAACTCTTTTCTCTAAGCCACTGAAAATTTTATAGAAAATTATCATTAAAAAATCCTTTTTGACTGTGATAGACCTCGAGACCCATCAACTTTTCTTAAGTTCTTTTCTTCTACTTTCTTATCTCTCTGCTTGATGTCATTAATCATATCCTTTGTGTTCGTGCTGAGTAGCACAGAAACAAGTATAGCTGCACTCTTCTTTTCACTGAAATATACCTAAAATCAGCCCAAGAGTCTAACATCTTTCATGCCAGGTATCAATTTATCATTATTTAGCTATAGAAGAAACAGACGTAGCCACTTGACGATGCAATTGCTCATAGCTTTGAAGATATCGGTATTAGTCCAGAGCAAAAGAGTGGGCTGAAGACACAGAGCATTTGGTGTTTGGTAAGGATCAGTCTGGGTGTAACACACAAAGGTCCATAACACACAAAAATATTCCCCAAACATTCTGCTTCTAAATGCGGACTACAGCCCCAAACAGGTAAACAAGTTACTCCAGCCTTTGAACAACTGCATAGCACAAACAGTTCTCTGAAAGAGACATCTCAAAGCATCTCAGAAAGATGCTGGTGACCATGGACATGTCTCCAATCTCATTTTGTTTGGACACGAGCGGGCAAAGGGTAGAAAATCACTGATTATGTATATGATTTTTTTTACTTTTTGGCTAGAATGAAACACATAAACATGTTTCACAGAATTTACACTATTAGACATTTTACAAACAATTTTCAGATGTCACAATGCAGATGTTATCTATTTAGCTTCCAGGATCTACAGTGATTATCATGCGTAGGAGTGTCCTATTCAAAACGATCAGAAAAAAAAGTCTGTATAAGCTATAAGAATGGAAAATTGCACTGAACTTATATATATATCCCACTATTACCTTACCTTTACAGATTTTGCAGCAACTGTGAGATAAAGGAATCTGTTGAGATTCTGGGCAGTTCAAAGCTGTGCAACTGTCTTTTGGAATACGCTGCATTTTGTGGTCCTGTTAAATTGAAGTAATTGATTAATATCATGAGATAAGAAATAAAGATAAATGATAAGTTTAGTGGAGTTTTAGCTTTATAATGTACAAAAAAATCCCTGCCTATGCCAAACTCCAGTTACTTTTGAAAACCATTTGAAAGGACAAGGTAGCGCAACAAAAGCATCAGGACCTCCCCTATACTCGAACCTTTTCAAGCAAGCAAAATTGTGGCAATAGCTCTCATTCTTAGCTGTCAAGCAACTTGCCTCAGAAGTTTCTCTTAAAATTATGTCTGAAAGAGTAATAATAATTTCTCAAAAACTGAGGCAGCAGATTCCAGAATCAAGAGTCCTCACAACGAATACTCTAAAGCAGCTTTTTATTTCTACAGCAAGTAGAATCAAACTTAAACATCTCTGACCTCAACGCTGTGGTAGTAACCCTGAGGGAAACTGGCACTGATTCCCCAATAGGAAAGAGAGGATTTCTCAGCTAAGTTTGGATCAGACATCTGGAAATGTCCAATGCCAAGATGATATCTGAATATCTTTAGGCACTTAGTGCAGGTCACACACAATCACTGCAGTTTGATCACATGAAATGCCTGCCTTAGCAATCCCGCTACCGCAGATGTACCACCTTTAGGCTCCCTTGGGCCCTAATTAATGTGTCTTGCAGTGCTCTAGTCATGATATGGCAAAGACAGAAAACAAGGCAAACAACAACATGTTCCTCAGAGGCATCTGCCTTAAAATATGAGCTCACTGAACTTAGGACCATGTATTTCTGCATGCAAGAAAAGTGCCTAACATCATGCATGTGTCATTGCATGTACTATTGTTGTTGTTATTGTTATTGTTATTATTATTATTATTATGGGTCTAGCATTTAATTTTAAATCCTTTTTAAGCATGAAATATAAAGATGAAACATGAACAATATGGCCAATATAAAAATTACAGCTCAAACTTTGCCTTAAACAATCTTGACAGAGAAACCAACCTTAACCTGATAATACAGTAAAGCAAACCAGCCACAGATATGTTGTACGTCAGGGCAAGCAAAATCTCGTAATTCCACAAAATAGAGGAAAAAATCCCTTTTGATAGAAATAATATCAATTAGAGTAGTCTTGATTGCATTTAATTCTTTTACAAATTCTAATTTGGATGAGAATTTTTCATTCACTTGTATAATATCCAAACAGAAAAGTGACTGCCTAGCAGGCACAACTGCAGCAGCCAAACAAAACAAAAAATGTTTAGAATTACATGCAGACAAAAAGAAGACATTCCCTACATTCCCTTGATAACATCATTATAAGCCTTCAAGCACAAAATCAGCCACTCTTGAGCTGGAATCATTAATTATACCCTTTTATGAGAACTCTGGTAGTAATAAAATAGTGCCCACCTATGACTTCCTAACTGACCAACACAGTTTACAGTATGTGGATTTTCTGCTCTAAATTATGATTCACAAGGGTGCTCAGCAGAAACTGTATGTATTTCGGCCCTTGAAAAAGCAGCATTTGAATCTGTCGAAGTTGCTGCTTAATATTTCTACCAGGACAGACAGGCAGCCCACCAGCAAAACAACTATAATCAACAAAATACTGGCCAGTGCAGCCAACAGAGGCATTTTGTTCATACAGCATCGCACTTGCCAGCTACAAGAAATACGAGGCAACATCACATAACTTTTGACGGTTGCTAACTATATCCATTGACTAGTCACAGAATTCATGTCCCAGGTGTCACACTGAAAATATGAGTCCACAGTCCTGAAAAGCATATGACTGAATCCAAAATTATTTCTGGTAAGCTTCTGCTTTCCTTTTTCAAAAGGGTTTCAAAGCATCTCTTCCAGGAACTAAGCTCACAAAGATTAAAATCAACAACAGTAAGACAACGGTCCTCAGTTCTACTTTGTAAAACACACTTTTTCACAACTGTATGAAAATGTTTTGCGATTTCCAGAAACTGGTCCGATAGCTGCAGCGTGGCCAGAGGAGTTGCTCCCCTCTCTTTCTCTGCCCTGGAAATGTGTGCTCAGGTTTCCAACTCCACTCCGCAGCATGCAGCTCTCTAACCGGAGGGAACTCCTCCCTGTCCCTCCCCTGGAGACGCAACCTACGACCCACTGCAGCACTTTGTGTGATTCTCAACCCGCAGCTGCTCCTGCGGTATATTTTGCCCTTAAAGTGCATTTGTGCCCTGAAGAGCAACTCTGTTCCTGCAGCAGGACAAGACTGACTCAGCATCAGATGCATTCTGTTTACAAATAAGACAATGACCCTGCCCAATTCCCATCACCAGGAATACAACCAGACACCTGGTGTGCCAGCTCTTTTCCTTCTTTTTCATCTAGCTTTTCCACTAAGATTTATCCTGAATTCCAAATTATGCCCCCATCACATCTGTGCATCTCTCATACCTGAGCACATAATTTTGAACAATAACATTGCACATGTGTCAATGGAAACACGAGGTAGTCTGGTGGGCTTTTGTTACTGATGATGGAGACGATACCTAAGGAGGAAAGAATGCAGTTTGATTGTCAAGCTGCGTAATCAAAGCTTGCAGCTATGCAGAGTAAATTTATTTGCAAAATTTGATGTGGAACTCAGTAAGACAAAATAAACACAGGACCCCTTAGATGCCTTTTCTGTTTCTGCCACTTCCTAAGGCAGACCTGCCTGTATTTCAACAGTTTCGTTCAATGGGACTTCGATATTTTTAACATGCAAGAAATTCTTTTTCCATCAACAGTATTCTTACCTTGCACTCAAACAGAACACAGTCCCCTGAGCTTGAATACACAGTTTCTCTTTGTCCTTCAAAGTAGGTTCTGCCTTCAAATATGCACACCGCTTCAGGAGAAAAATAGAAAAAAAACCACAATGATTTTGTAAAGAAGTGTTACTACTCTGCTTATAGAACCGATGCACTTTCTTAAAGACAACTGCATTTCAAAATGAAAACATTCAATCAATCAGCTGCAAGACTATTCTAAACTCACCTGCAGGAGTCTGGATATCACAAGAAAAAAAAATCAGAAGAGAAAAAAACCCACGAAAGAACCAGAAAAGCACACATAAGTAGAAGGTGGAGGATGGTGAAGCAATATGGAGGTCAGGTCAAAAAGGAAAACGGAGATGTGAGAACAGTGCGAGTGGCATTAATAGATAATCAGTTTCTTGAAGAGGAATGTTACATGACAAAGGGTGATCACTGAGATCAAATATTTATTTGTTATCACAGCCCTCTGATGCTTCATCACCCCATGCAGGTATTTAAATGTTATGTATTAGTATCTGGATTATCCCAGTTATTTACTATTACTGCTGAAGTATATTAGGATAAATTAATTTTACTGCGCAGAAACTGACCTTCAGTGACTGTCTTTGGCTTTTTTCCCCAACAGAAGTAGGATCAAGTCTCCAGTGATCAAGTGACAGAATGACATTCCCTCCCCCAGGATCAGTGTTTGTTATACCACGACCTGGCCCAGCGCCACTCCTGCGCCCTGGCAGTACTGGGTTTTACAGTAGCATGCTGACACAGCTTGTACTGGATTGCTCACTAAAGTTCTTATTCAGTATTTAAGGGTTACATAAAATATCTTCACAGCAAACTTTTTTTTTTTTTTTTTCCTAAATGGGTCCATTACTGCAGTTACATTATGCAAAGTATAAAGGCTAAGTAATGTAACTGCTAGGTACAGAAAATTGGATGTCTGTCTCTGTTGCTTAGGACACAGTCAAGGCTCATCAAGTAAGCATAATCATGAAATAACAGGTGTAGGTTACTACTTTCAAGTTCTAGATTACATTAGAGGTCTAATTTGCTAATCATTGATTTGGAGATGTAAATCAATTATACTGCAATTCATTCACAAAGATATTTATCTATTCTGTTTAAACAGACTACAATTTGCAGACAATTTTAAAATATCTAAAAGTACAAGAGTTTTTATTGCATGACCTATATTAATTACCATTACTGCTGTTATTTTCAATTCTCCCTTAGATTTGTTTTCAACTTACAGCTTCTTGATTTTACAAACTTATTACTTTGTCAGCATGTAAAAAGTCAACTCTTGGAACTGATGTTGAAAAAACCGTGATGGATAATAGTGACAAAAAAGTGGGTTTTTTCAAATTCCAAAGTATGAGTTATAATATCTTGTAAAGTATATTGTGTGATATAAGCCTGCACAGCACTTTCAAGAAGTAATATCACAGCACGTTGCAAGACTCCAAATCCCATGAATGGCAGAGCTTGCAGTCAGACTTAATAAAGAAAGCGCAGAAGAGAGCCACAGGAAAGAGTCAAGGGGAGAGTCCTAGGGCTAACAGAAAGGGAAAGTTTGTACAACATCCACAAAGAAAGGTCACAATGAGTCAAAAAAGCTCAATACAGTGCCCCTTTCCTCTCCCAGAAAACAAGCTCTTCTAGAAGGAAGTGAAAAAAAAAAAATCTATATAAATCTTTAGTGGGGACTAGCAGATCTTGAATCCAGACAGGACAAGGCAATCATCCAGTCATATATATCATCTCCTATGTATTACAGGCCATGACACTAAACTGAAATACTCATATATTAAGTCCTTTCCCTTGCCCCATACATTTCAAGCTTCTAAGAACAACTCCATGTGACAGGAAAAAAAGAAGTATAGCAATGCCTGAGGACCACACAATGGCAATGGACATGTGCATAACACATCCATGTTTCCAACAGGCAGACTAAGCCTATTCACAGGAAAGGCAAAAGACGTCAAAATCACTGTCATTCTGTCTTCGAAGAAAACACTCTCCTGAAGCCAAAATAGTCTTAACATATGAATAAGACCACAAAGATATCTTTTTTTTTAAAAAAAAAAAAAAGTATCCATACAGCCTCAAAGCATAGTCCACTGAATCCAATCTCCTTATCAATGGCAACAAACCTCTGATTCTTCAGAGAAAGTTAGAAATTAATGTACACAAGAAAAACATTAAAAGCACACATCCAGCCTAGTGTGAAATCATGGAGTTATTGCTTGATTCCACCAACAGCCTTCGGAAATCTTGGCACATGAAATCATTGTAATGCAGTGATGCAGTATCACAAACACTGCTTTCAGCAAGAAAATCAACTCTCTCCATAAAGCCTTGGAAAAAAGAAACACTTACAAATTTTGGGGCTGTGAGAGATGGCTCTGCCCAGACAGCCCTTGCCTCTTTCCCATGTGTCTTTATACACACAAAGATTGTTTCTCAAAGGCTAGAAAGTAGCAGCAGATTGCATGTTTCAAGACACTTGCTTGTGTGGGTCCCAGAAATTTCCAGCAGTGCTCACATCCCCACCTCCACAACCACAACAACTGGCCATCATGCAGCTAAGAAAATTACATCTCATTTATTGAATTCCTTTAAATAAACATTTCCAACTACTGGATTTTGCTGTGGCTTTGTCAGCAAGGTTATAAAGCCCCCAGGTATCAGGGACCAGCCTATACAGAGTGACCAAATTATGTTTAAGAAAAGAGAGAAAACCCAACAAACAATAAATGCCCAATTGAAAAACTAAAATGAAACTAAATTGAACACCTGTTAACCTGAATAATCTGAACACAAGCCCAAGCATGTCTTCTTATGGACTGCTGCTCTCACTGACTGCATTCAAAAGGGACATTTCTTAAAATCATCAAAATCAACACTACCCGGATTATTTCTCTCCTGCTAGTGTTCTCTAAACCATGAAGGATTCCACCATACTTGGGCAGTTCCTTCCATTAAAAAGCAGCAAGAACCAAGGTACGCTCAGAAGCTCTAATTCCAAGCGCTAACATTTTTTCTCATCTCACCTATGCTAATCTAGCCGAATGAGCTTACAGAAAACACACAGGCCCTCATCTGCACCAGCACCACTGGCTCCATTTAACAAGACAGATACCAGTGGGTTTAGTGATGGTCTAAGTTTGCCAGTGCACACTGACTTTTCTTCTCCAGTACTCCCATAAATGTCTCTCTCTTTCCTGTTCTCTTGCCAGCCTCATTCTTCTGCCGCTGCCCACCGAGGAGGCACCCTGCCAGACAGCACAGGGCAGATTTTCATCAAGCTACCTGAAGACTTCTAAAAAATGTACTGTAAGGTTGAAAGATTTCTAGAAAGACAAAGCTACTAACTTTCTACTGCCCCACTTTGCTCCTAAGACCGCAGGACCCACGTCCCAGGCAGTGTGGAACAGAACATTTTTCTTGCTTCCTGACAGCAACTGTCACAGCCAGTACACATCCCATGATGGTAGTGTTTCATGTCTTTATTTTCCTTCAGAAATAAAGATATTTCAACAACATGAACATCTGGACTAGAACTGTGTTATTGGAAAGTCCAGTGAAGATTTAATTTCTGCTTGGCTAGATGCTTCCCAGGATACTCTGATTAGTTTGTGATTGGTATCTCTCTGGGGAAACATATCATCTTTCATCTTCCTAAGTCCTTTCATTTGACAGACTGAGTCACAGTCAAGAAATTACCTGATGATTAGTTGTTCCAGAACTTGATAGTTATTGCCTATGTAGGATTTCATCTACAGTTGAATTACATCAACCATTTCCTCTTGCCATCAAACTTCCACATTCCCCCAGTGCCTAAAACAACATATATTATCTACGGGTTTCTAAGAAGATGAAACAGGAAGTCTACAAAACCTGTTAGGAAGTTTGACTACTCTTGATCTATTTGTATACAGAAGGTGATCAAATATTACATTGATAGGCATTAGTACAGGGTCTAAAAAATTATTAGCAAGGTCTGCTTATATTTATGCAGGTGTAGTGATAATACAACTATTCCCTGTAGTATTATTTAACACATTGTGATGACATGGCATCTTCTCCATATTCATCCAGCAAAAGGAATCTTTCAGGAGCCAGCTGGCTGTTGTGTTCGCTCAGTGAATTATCAGCGTTTTGTCCAACCATCACCTCTCTTCCACAATCCTTTCTTCTTCCCACTGGCTCTCCAAAAGACACTTTCCTTCTGCATTTCTTAAAATGCCCATGCAAAATTCATGACCCAGCTAACTCCTGCCTTCCATTCACTGAGTTCACAGGATATCATGTAGTACCTTTTCTCATTTCTGTATTTATCACCTTCACTATCTAGATTGCATATGCCTTCCTCTGAAGAACGCATGTACACTTCCCTGTGGTACCTAAGCTGATTTTGATTCAGATTTATCACAAAGGAAAAGCAGAAAGTTTAGCACATTGGTGAAATCCTCAAACCACTTTATTTTCTTGTATTCATAATTGCCCAATGAGTGGCATATGTGACTGGAAGCCTTGTGAAATTTGTCAGTAATTATAAATGTATAATTTAAATCTGGTAATTAAGTGTATGTTGCTGCATTCTTTGTTCACATATGCTGGTTTGGGGGGGGGGGGGGGGGGGGCAGACCCCCACAAAATTCAAATAAAAAAAAAAAAAAATTAGCATTAAAAAAAAAAACCAAACCAAAACCAACAACCCTATCTCATTCATTTGATTTTCCAGCGTCCTCTGTGGAATCGCCTCAATTACATTTTCCCCTATTCAGAGATCAAGGCTTAGGCATTGTGTAAGTCCCATTAATCCTACTTTGCAAGCTTACATAGTGCAAAACCACTGTGTGGCTTTATCCTTAGAAATACACACAGAGATAATCGTCACCTTTCCTGAATTTCTCTCTCTTGACTGCTATGCCATTGCTAGGCATTGCTCACACCCCTTTCTCATTCATCTTTGCAGGGATTCAGGCGTTATTTCTTCTTCGCTCATTTTCTGGAGAGCACAAGCTCCTCTGTTACTGCAGTCAGTGAGGCTGAAGACTTACTTCATTTC